CATATTGAACCCAGTCCAGAAGGCAAGAAACTCCTAAATCAATCATCGAAACAAACGTAGAACTTTTTGGTGGAACTAACCTGTATTTCAGAGTTATATAGAGAGGAAAATCTCACTCGATTAGAAAGGAGACTCTAACTCAGGACCTATCCACCACTTGGAATATTTAACATAAGCACTGTGGCCGGTGCGAGCAGCGGGCAGAATTCGTATTGCGCAGCCATTGCTGGGATTTGAACCTAGTCCACCTTATAGGTAGGGGAGCAATTTATCATTGAGCCACCACGGCTTCCGTCTATCTATTTACGCGAAACAACAACCAAATTACCAGAGAAAAAGATTAATTTCAACAGCAACGTGTATGCAGGATGTTCCGCAATCACCGCTCTTTACTTATACATTTAGAATCCTTGTCAGAAATAAATTAAAGATTTGTAAATATTACCAGAAAATAATAATACAAAGGCAAAAAAAAAAACTTGCAAATTATTAATGTGGGAGACAGTATTAAAAACATCAAACCATGTTTGATTGCTGAAGAAATCTGAGAGGAGGGGAAGAGTGATTATGGAATGAGAACCATTTACAATCAAACAAGGCAATCAAACTTGTTTTGCTGGTTTTTAACCCTGTTATCTCAATAGTGTTTTAACGGGGTCTTAGAAAGTTTCAATTTTCCCACGCAATTCCGATAAGCACAGTTTTTTTTTTCTTAAAAAGTCTTACAATATGGATGGTAAAAATTTGAAGTAAAGTTTCTGTTAATGAAACACCCTGCACACCAATAGGTTATAGGATATAAGATGTACACTTCTCTTTCAAGGGAGGGGATTGATTTTTAAAACACCGCAGTTCCGTTTTACTACGTTTTTTTTTGCTCTATTTTGACTATGGTTTGTAACACCGTTTGATTTTGTTGCCGTAGTATAGCCGACTCGAGCTCCTGTGCCATTAAAATCTAACATTCGATCCAATCCAATGTTTAATTTCCGTTAAAATATGCATAAAATCTGTTTCATAAAATAGTTTAAATATGATTTAATGATTTAAGAACATTAAATGCTTGATTGCAATTCTTCCAACCAATAATTCAAATAATTTTTTTTCTTTTTACCTTGTTTTAATACAGTGAAAAAAAGTCTTTTTTATTTTTTAGTAATACCAAATTTAACTGTTTTATTTTTAACTGTTTTAGTTTCTTTACAAATTCAGGAAAACAAGTCCTTTTTTCCATGAAAACTATTAATTAGTTAGTAACTTTGTTGCTAACAACCTGAGGAAAAAAAAAAAACGTGTAATTACTTTTAGTAAAAAAATAGATTTTGATAGCTTTTATGAATATTTTATGAAAATATTTAAAACAGGTAGATAAATGAATAGCAATAAAAATAAAACAATAAAAATGGGAGCAATAAAAAAGTGTCTACTTACTTTGGAGTCTTTTTCAGCAGTGGGTGTGTATCCTATGGAAAAAGAAAGGAAAGACGTTGCGTTATCTCTTTCTTTGCTTTGTGGTAATCTCTTATAATTTTTTTATCAAAACATCAGGTGTCACCCGCCTACTGCTTTGATAATATTCTCCGAATGTTGAATACAGAAATGAAATTTAATCTCATATGGCCTAACAATTGAGTAATTTTCAGTCATTTTTGATTGCCTGGGTAAAAGTACAGAAAAATATGATCTAAGCTCCGTTATTGTTTAAAAATAATTTTCTACGATAACTAATTCATAAATTATGCAGTTTATAACTTATTAATTTATAGAATTATTTTATAATAGATTGAAGGTCAGCGCCTGGAGGTCACTGTTGATCAATAACCCCCGAAACTGCCTTTGCAGTTCTTTTCAGAATGATTCGTCGCCAGTTTAATCTTAATCCTACTACAGTCAAACCCCACTATAATGAACCTTCAAGGGAGCGAAATTTCGGTTCACTATAACCGGGAGTTCACTATATCCGTTACGCAAACAATTTTAACTAATGGTTCCGATCTTTTTATTAATACATTATTTAAATAAATGACCCATAAAATGAGATACAAAAATGACTGAAAAATAATACGTAATAGTAACAAAAAATGTGTTAACTTGCTTTTTATTACTCTTCGTCTTGCATACAAAAAATTAGTAATCTTTAGCTGATGAGCAAACCTCAACATCAGATATGGAAACATCTTGAATTCATGTTATTCCGCTTTTTAAACCTGGCTAACCAGCCATCCAAGCACATAAAAGTAGTCTCACCAAATTGCTTAGCAAATTCATCGGCTTTGACTGGAAGCATTTGTCCACACACTGGAAGATGGCGACTTCTTTGAATGCTGAACCAGTTCAATAATGCTATTCAATAATGAAGCAAACAAGAAAAACTTATTGTTGCTACATTCCATGATATAGATGGTTTTAAAAATCGGTACATGTATTTATTTTGAGGTAGAAATTTCAAAATTATTTAAAAAAAAGATGAAGAAAATCAGGTGAAATCAGAAAAAAGTTCATAATATCCAACTTCTTCTTTTTTTGGTTCACTATATCCACAAAAAATAACATTATAAGTGTGTAGCAAGGCGCGGGACCGAACATTTCGTTCACTATATCCGGGAGTTCACTATAAACCGTGTCCACTATAGCGGTGTTTGTACTCTATTGCTTTTATACTTTCTTTTACATACATTAAGAAGTTTCACCCCCCAGCTTGCTATTGTTCACGAATTTCTGAAACTACTTGTACAATTTTTTTCAGATCCCTCATTTTCCCATTCTCACTCCGAATAGTTTGGATTAGATATGAAATCGCAAAAAATAAACTTTGGATTGACACTTGCACTTCGCACGTATTTTTAAATGCTAAAAATTCTTAAAAACGTAGCTTCCCATATTCGCTTATGTGGTTTTAATTTCAAACATTTATGTGGCTTGCCTGATATTTTCTTTGTCAAACTTGAAGTAATCTAAGTAATAAAGTTGCCCAAATTTACATAAATCCTTTATTTTATTTACTTATTTTTTGGACAGTTTGATTTATTTATAATGCGCATTGTAAATAAATCAAAACAACGTGAATGAATCACAAATAAAGACACAAAAATGGATATACTGTAATTTCATTTCTATAAGCAAGGACATTCATCATTGACAAAACATATTTTTTTGAAGTTATACTTCTAATGCGACTTCCAACAAGGTTGCGCTAAACGTTTAACGCTACATTTTTATTGGCCGGGAAATCACGTGGTAGGATCCAGTTTTCCCTCATTCATTTCCATATTGTTTTGGCTCTCACTAGCATAAAAATAATAAAAGTCATAAAAGTATTGTTTTTCTATAAATATTTTTTTAGTTTGGTTTGATACACATATAATTTAATAGGATACATATATAATTTAATAGGATAGTATTTTTTATATTCAAATTTAGTGGATAACAATTGTAAAAAATGAGTGAAAGCAATTCCCACGGACAATGCGACGGATTTAAGGTTACGTCAAGGTACGTCTCTGGTGAATATCAATTGATTGTTAGATTTTCTCTTTTGAAATTACATTATGACGCACTGGTCATAATGTATTCCACTGTTTCAAGAGGTCCACGAGGGAAAAATGCACAATATTACCGTTATTACAGAGCACGGAAGTGAGCGGAGCTGGAAAAAGAGTCGTTGAATAGAACTAGTGATCCTTCCACGACTGCTGATTCTTCTACAATTAACGTCGCAGGTTACGAAGTTTAACTTCTTCCGCGCGGAGGGACTCCACGCACTATTTTTTTTTCGTCAGTGGGAGAAGTTAGAACTGAAGTTGTAGTATATCCATTTTGTGCCATTCTTTATCCATGTACATCCATTTTGTGCATTATTTTTGAACATCTTTTTTCTATATAATAGCTTTTTCCAACATTATATTTTATAACATGATCAAATTTTGGTATTTTATTTGCATCGCACTAGATTTTAACAATGGGCTGTCGACGACAATTTGGGAAACATCTTCGAGAATGATACGAAGACATGCCATCACAATTTTGATCCTCTGCAGCGGGGATGGTTCCCCTGCTTTGGTAGCTCAACGACCTTCACGCGAAGTCGAGCTCTTTACAGTGGAACAATTTAACAAGGACCGAGACCGTGCACCCTCGGTCCCTACGTAGGCTGATCAAAGTGGTCATCCACCAGCTTTCTGACCGCAGACAGTGATGCCTGACTCCGGTGTTCTACTGGGAACCGTGTCTTTACCATCAGTCCGGGACTGATCAAATTTTGCAAAAGAAAGGAAGCATTCCAGATTTCTTCAGTCTCATGTATTGTAGTTACTCCAAATTAATTTTTTTAAACATCATTTTCATACTTAACATAGTATTTTTATGTGATCAATTTTTGGAAAAGAAGCGTCTCGTATTTCTACCTTCTCATGCCATTTTAAAAACTCATTTATGTTGGCTGGTGCTTAGAATAAAATTCTATGATAATCAGTCATAACTTGCATCAAAAATAAAAAGCGCTGCTTAAGAAATTCGGTAAGAAATTTAGACTGGTTTTTGTAACATCATTCTGATGCAACTTTATATCTGTAACTTTTTATGTCCTGGAGGGAATAGACCAGTAGTTTAGAACGAAATAGAATTGCATAGTTTACGAAAATTAGTCAGAAAATTAGTTACGAAATTAGTTATTGAAAGCTGAATTAAAAGAAAATTAACCTGAGTCTAAAAGACGGTCAGCTCAAAAAATGAGAGAATCCTGGGGCTATTTAATGATAAGCCACATTTTAAAAAGTTCAGATGGAAGTAGTCAGCAAAAATTACCATAATTTAAATGAAAAAAAAAGAGATCTTTCTAGCGAAAGTTCTAAAAAAACTTGCAAAGTTCTTATCTGGAAACAATACTAAGGAACAATTTAATTAAAAAAAACTTTCAACTTTAGAAAAAATGAGGCTTATCACTATATTGTGTGAAATTTCGAAATAAGTGAGACTCACACATTGAAAAATATGAAATTGTATTGAAAAGTAAAAAAATTGAATATTTATTGTGTAAACAAAATTTCAAGCGAGCCTCAACTCTTCGTCTCTCAGTCTTTCGATTTCTTCTTTGTAGATGAAAAAGAAGCTCGGCGTTCGCATTCTCTACAACGGGAGAAAAAAGAAAATAATTAGATGAGCAAATGTTAAGAAGGAAAATTAAAAGTGTACATTTCATCATTCAATTTAACCAACACACAGAGAAAACTTTGCTTTTATGTGAATTTACCTAAATATCATTTAAAATACAGCCACACTTTTTTCCGAGAATAAAAAATGAATATAAAGTTTAATTTAGATTAGATATAAAGAGTATTTTATCGGTAAGCAATATCTTAACTTTGGCAAGCCTTTTGAGTTGAGCAAATTATGGCTGGCAGTTCATGTTGTAATTAATGTTGAAAATATACAAGACAGCTCGCTTTTTTTTTTGCTCGTACTAAAAGTTAAACATCATTGTTAGTTTTAGTTCATATTTATAATAGCGTTGAAAACATAATGTTATAAAATTATTTTCAAATAATCATCGTTCCTTAAAAGTTAGAAAATAGCATTCATTCAGTTGTTCCGTAATCGCCGTTTTTTAATATACATTTTTTAGAACCCTCGACAAAAATAAAGTAATTTATACAAATTAGAGGACACGAATTATAATTTAAGCGAGAAAAAAAGCGAATAAAATAAATCATAAATGAAGAAAGCGAGATTAAAAATATCAAAACCTGTTTGAATGAAGCAGGAAACAAAAAGGAGATCATTAAAAACACTTTCAAGCTTCATTGTATATTAAAACTGATTTTGATACTTTTAATTCCACTGACCTCGCTCATGATTTGTCAGATATTGATAACAATTTTATTTTTCCCCCACCTGCAAATAAACTAGATAAAGTGTATATGTTTTATTTATTTCCTATAAGATTATAAAAATATATATTGCAGTTAATAATTATGAAACACGCTGTATATTGGAAAATATAATAGTTTTGTCAGAGAATGTCTATGAAAATTATACTTTTTACGATGAAGCGATACTGACTTTTATAAATCATTAATATTCAAACCATCAACTACTTTTGAGTAACCCTGCATATTAGAAATTTTATAATTCGAAAGTTGTAGATTACTAGTAAAGAGTTAAAAGTGGTAAGCATTAGAATAAAACTTTACAATTACTTCGGTTCACCACAAGTTGGCACTACAGGGAAAGGTAAGAAATGTAATGCCACGCTTTTGAAAAGTAGCTATTTCGGAATTAATTACAGTTTAAATGTACGTACAAATATAAATAAACGAAGTATAATAAGAAAAGTTTATCTTGAAACATGTATTAGAAGTTTTATCATGTTTAAATGTATTTAACGTATAAATACTTTCTTAGTAAAGCGAATTTACAAAGAAGGAGGTGTTTTAGTTTGGCGATGAATTGGTGTCCGAGGGAGAGGAGTTGGAGCGTTGGTTATGTTTTTGCAATCTATGGGTCAGCCAGCTCGCATCGCTTAATTGTTTTTTTGCTTTTGCTTTTTTGTTTCGTTTAGTTCAGAAATATTAATAAGAGTATCTGTTTTCAAATCATAATAAGAAATATCTGTTTTTTAAAAAATCATAAGAAATCAGCTCACAATTAGTATCTCAAATCAATTATTATTAGAAATGCTCTGCAAAATCTTATTCTTTTCTATATTTTGTTCACAATTTTAGTAAGATTCTTAGTAAAAAAAAAAACGATATTTCGTTTTCCTTAACGCCAATATTGGGCGCTTTCACGCCTTTTTCGATACCTTATGAACCCAACTAACTTAAAGAGTAACCCAGTTTCCATGACAACTTCTGCAATCCGGCCTACCTGCCTTTCTGTGCCGTACCAACTTGAGGTGAAACGGAGTATATCAGTTTCATTTTTAATATGCATAAGGTCAAATGAATGTACAATAATTTTTTTAAAAAAAAGGTGAATTACCACATCCTTAGTTGTTTTGAGAGCACCAGCTGAGATTAAGATTTTGGCGATTTTATCAACTTTATCCATTGCCATTGCATAATGAAGAGGAGTTCTTCCCAGCTGCAACACAAAGAATCAAATTTCATATTTCCAGATTATGTATTTATTTTTTTTAAAAATCAAACGTTTGACACAGAATGGATACCAGTATCCCTTTATTATATATTTTTTTCTGACACTCTAATTAAATAAATAAAAATATATTTTGGTATTTTCTATATAATTATGAAAAACAGTCTAATTCTAAGTCAAAGAGTTAAGGGATAAGATTCAAACATATTCAAATGTTAAAAATAATATTTTTCACTTCAAAATAAGGGAAAAAGTATGAAAAATATGTTTAATAAAAATTTTGCGTTAAAGGGTTAAGAAAGTTCTTTAGTTTCTTTCTCGCTATAATAAAAAAAATCGTAAGAGCTGCCAATTACCGTCTCTAAGGTAAAATTGGTAACTTCCTCCACTCACGCCTGAACAATGTTTCAAATCATTTAAAATGGTTGTGAAAAAGCTACTATAAGGTAATTAAAAACATTTAGGCAGCATTTAAAACATCATCGAATCGTGGCTTTTATACATAAGTTCGGATTATTAATCAAACATGGAGATAAAATATTTTGAGTCAAATTTATTATATCTNACATCCTTAGTTGTTTTGAGAGCACCAGCTGAGATTAAGATTTTGGCGATTTTATCAACTTTATCCATTGCCATTGCATAATGAAGAGGAGTTCTTCCCAGCTGCAACACATAGAAATCATAATCAAATTTCATATTTTCAAATTATTTATTTATTTATTTTAAAAATTAAACGTTTGACACAAAATGGATACCAGTATCCCTTTATTATATATTTTTTTCTGACACTCTAATTAAATAAATAAAAATATATTTTGGTATTTTCTAATTATGAAAAACACTAATTATTATTAGCAAAAAATCTGTCAGATTATTTGAGTTATATTTTTCATAAATATAAAATCCAAAAAAGTAGTTTGAAATTTCTTTTTTATTCATATGGAAACATTTATGGAGAATTGATTATGTAAATTAAAGAAATTTCAATGATCAGTAACTGTTTCTCTTAGATCTAAATAACAGTAAAAAAATGCAAATTTAAAAAACTATTGTTTGGAATTAAGTCGTGTTTGGAAAATTTTACCTTTAAAGCAGAAAGAGTCTCCTGCTATAGTTCATAACCATACATTATAAAAATACTAAATATAATATTCTTCTCTTATTTTGACCTAAATTAATAAAAAAATGTATAAAAAACATGTTTAATAAAAATTCTGAGCCAAAGAGTTAAGGGACAGCATTTGAACATGGTAAAATGTTAAAAATAATATTTTTCACTTCAAAATAAGGGAAAAAGTATGAAAAATATGTTTAATAAAAATTCTAAGTCAAAGAGTTAAGGGATAAGATTCAAATATATTAAAATGCTAAAAATAATAATTTTCACTTCAAAATAAGGGAAAAAGTATGAAAAATATGTTTAAAAAAAATTCTGAGTCAAAGAGTTAAGGGATAAGATTCAAACATATTAAAATGTCAAAAATAATAATTTTCACTTCAAAATAAGAGGAAAAGTATGAAAAATATGTTTAATAAAAATTTTGCGTTAAAGGGTTAAGAAAGTTTTTTAGTTTCTTTCTCTCTATAATAAATAAAAAATCGTAAAAGCTGCCAATTACCGTCTCTAAGGTAAAATTGGTAACTTTCCCCACTCATGCCTGAACAATGCTTCAAATCATTTAAAATGGTTGTGAAAAAGCTACTAAAAGGTAATTAAAAAACATTTAGGCAGCATTTAAAACATCATCGAATCGTGGCTTTTATACATATGTTCGGATTGTTAATCAAACATGGAGATAAAACATTTTGAGTCAAATTTATTATATCTAGAAGAAAATTAAGAGTTTAGTGGAAGAAGGTGTTAAGTGACATTTTAGAAGGCGTAAAAATTCAAATTTCTCGTAAGAAAAGCTTACTTCAGTCTAATTCAGCTCTGCAATATTGACAATTTAGCGAAATGATGATTAACCCTTAACAGACCAATGCCACCGTATAATTCTTCCTCTCTATTTAAACAATATATATTATTATATTTATCAAAAATTTTAATGAACGTTTGATGTTATAAAAAATTAGATTTATAATATTTGAATTCAAATCGTTAAAATAACAATTGAGAGGTTTAATTTTATTTTCATGTTAAAAGATATAGTGATTACTTTATTTTATGAGGATTAAATATATTAAACTTAATTAAGGAACCACTTCTACTTTTCAAAATTTAAGTAGTTATAGTAGTTAAATTTACTTGTAATAGTGTTTGGTTCTCAAAAGGTTCAATTTTGTGAATCGTTGTGGTTGAGTACTTCTGGAGTGGAAAAATATTCCAAGTGCAACTGTCGAAGAGTCATCTTAGACAGTTTCTTTCTTCTTTCCTTTTTTTATCAGCAAACGCCTTAAGTGTGACCGTTGTGAGTTAGAATAAGTGTTAAGGGCTTAATCGATTTTGCTAATGAGAACAATTGATTAGTACTGACAAGAAATAAAGCTTAACTTAGCGTACAAACCAGAGTTGGGCAAAAATGTAATCGATTACATTTTTTGTTTACAGCTGTAATCGATTATAATCGATTACATTTTTTGAATACTTGTAATCAGGATTACAAGATAACATAATTTTGATTACAGCTGTAATCGTGATTACAATAACCTATTACAGTAATCAATTGCTTGTAATCAATTATACAATTCAGCAAAAGTTTGATTACAACCGTAATCAAGATTACAAATAATTATGATTACAAGTAATCAAGATATACGATAACATATAAGCATTATTACAACTAATTGTGATTACTTGTAATAAAATTATCCAATTACAAGCAATTACGACTGCATAATATATGTAAATACATTATGTAAGTATGTATGGGGATACATATTTTTATGTACGTGGAATGTACACACACATGTACATACAATTTGTGATTCTTATATATACTTATATGCATTTGCAAATGTTGTTTGTACGACAAAATACATAAATATATTGTAATATACATAATACAATGAGTATATGCTTAGTACACATAATTATGTCTATATAATACATGTACGCATGCATGTTAGTTTGTATGCAAATGCAATGTTTTGTATGTTCGTATACACAGAAAATATATCTACTAACATATGTAAAAATAATGTAAATGCGTATACATGTATTTATGCATGTAAGTACATACATTGTATGAATGTATGATAATAGCATGTATATAATACAATGTTACTGTAATCGACGCCCAACTCTGGTACAAACGTATTGTTAACTTAAAATTTATCAACTTTAATTCCCTAAAATTTCACTTAAAAGCTTTGCACACAAATCTCTTCGAATATTAAAACACACATTCTTTTAATACTACGAGAAAAAGACGAAAGGGAAACATTGACAACTAATCTCTGGTTTAGAAAGAAACTCACATTGTCAGTAACATGAACTGCAGATGAGTTGGCTTTCACAAGAGCTGTAATGATACCGATGTGTTGGAATAGGACAGCTATGTGAAGTGCAGATCTTGACCTCGTTCCTTTCGCGCTGACTAAAGTTCCGTCAGATTTTGCTAATCTCGCCACTCCCTCCAAGTAGTTCTTACGGATGAATCCATACAGTTCTTCTCTTTTTCTCTATCGAATTGAAACAAAGTTTTTAACATAAACAGCATTTTAAAATCAGTTTCTTTCCGGATCATCACACTTAAAATGAATTAAATACAACACCCTACTTTTTATAGACTAGATTGTGTAGTAGTGTAATTCTAAGTGCTTCGTCAACAACGATTAGGTTTTAAAAAGAAAGGAAAAAAATCACTAATTAAGGAAGAAAAAAAGTATTAATCTTGGTGGATACATTCACTAAATATAACCTCATTATTTAATTGATGAATATTTTTTATCTTTGTTGTAACTTGAATTGAAATAAGATGAGTTCGTCAACACAAAGCCAGGGAAACGCACTTCAAATTGTTAAATCGGTTATTTTTAGGGAGATCGTTTTTGTCAGAGAGTCGAAATATCTTCACCCTTTTTCTCTTTTTGTATGCTTTTATTGTACAAACGGTACTTTTTAATAAGATGAAAATGCATGTGAAATACACATTACAAAATGTAGAATTTGACTGGTATATTTAGGTAGATCGGTACATAAGCCAGTGCAGTGAGATTGATCCTCAAGTTACTGAAAAGTATTAATCAAATATTCTTAATATTTGTTGGTTTTTTTAAAAATATATTTTTATAGTTTATTTATTTATTCCAGAATTACTTAAATAATGCGACGTTTTTCTTTTACTAAATGAAGAATTTTGATGTGATACGAAAACTGTGTACGACGTGGCTCGAATGCATTTTTCTGTCAGAAGGTATGAGCATTGAGAATTTTTTTTCTCCAAAATATAAGTAGGTTGTATTTTATTTTACATTATTTTATAACCGTCGTTCAACATCCGCCCCAATTTTGAGTTTACGATTATCAATGTTTAACTCCGTAGCTTTGAACTCAATCCAGAAGACAATGGAACACCTAATTCAGAGGCTCTAAGAAAAAGAATGTTCTAATTCGATGCTATGTAATGAAAAAAAAATCTTTTTTTTTATACTTCTTTGTTCATTTTAAACAGAATTATTTAGAGTTTTGAGTCTAAGAAACATTAAAATTTCAAGCACCAGTTGAGACTCTTTAGGCACCATGGCAACCAGAATCTTACACACCTACATTGTTATTAAATTTATAAACAGTATTTATAGCATACTAACTCAATTTTTACGCAAATCTATCAGTATAAACATAAATAAAAGTTTTGTGGTAGAGCCGTCGCCATCTTTGATGACGTCATAGCTGGAAAATGTACCAAAAGGTGGCTGCCCACCCTCGTTTAAAAGGCCTTTTTTAATACACCTACTAAATAATTCGGAAAAGAATAATTTCTCCATACTCAAACTTTCTCACAGAAGTACATTCAGGACCTAGGTTAAAGAAAACTCGCGAAAAAATTTCTATTTCTCCTCCTATACAAATAGAAGTTTTATCGTGGAAGGACCTGAATGCACTTCCGTAAGAAAGTATGGCGAAATTTTTCCCCCCGAAATATTTAGAGGGTGTATTAATATTCTATTTCTTTTACAAAGAGTCCCGCAGTGGACAGATCGTTAGGACACGATTCCCAGCAGATCACCGAAGTCAAGCATCGCTGGCTGCGGTCAGTGTGCGGGTGGTTGACCACTTGGATCAGTCTGCGTAGGGGCCGAGAATGTGCGGTATCGGTCCTCGTTAAACTGTTCTAGCGTAAAGAGCTCGACTTCGCGTACAGGTCGTTGGGCTGCCGAAGTGGGGGGTGCCGTCTCCTCTGCAGAGGATCAAAATTATGATGGTATGTCTTCGGATCATCCTCATGGAAATTTCCCAGACCGTCGGCAATAGCCCATTGTACAGCCATGGTACGACGTAAATGGACCATAAAAACAATAACAATAACAACAGACAGTCGCCAATAGCCCATTGTGCAGCTCTAGTACGACGTAAATGAACTACAACAACAACAATCCTCTTACAAAGAATAAATTAAATGTATTTTCAGCGAACTGGAGATGTGGTGAAACCCTGTGAGCCTCCTCACATCAAATAGTGACAAGTTCTTTAACACGTTTTTTTAACAACGTTTACAACCCAAAGCGTATAGCCGTGTTCAGAAGACTATACTTACTACAAACTCTGTCACTTCTCTTGCAAGTCCATGAGAGGTGTGAAGTCTCTTCTGCTCCAGGACGGATATCAAACTTTGACCAGAGGGATCTCTAATGTGAATCATGTGATCATAGCCTTCATGCAGTAGCATTCGTATGAGTGATGTCTTCGGTTGTTGGAATGCATCAAAAATGAAGCGGTCGATGGCCATCACATTATCCTCCTTGTCGCTGTCTTCTGCCACGTCCCTGCATGTTCTGTAGAGGACGTCCCTCTCTGCAATCAGCACTTCGGCGTGACTGAGGAGGCCATAGAAGCTTCCATCGGGATGAACACGAGCAGCTGCAAAATGCAACACTGTCTGGCCTTCTTCGTCCTAGAAGGGAAAAAAATTAATTTAAAAAAAATCAACAAAAAAATTGTGTTCGCCTTATTGCGATCACTGGTTACCCATTGGTCAAATGCTTTTTCTTTCTGAATTGACTCCGTTAAACATTTCAAATCATGGGTTGCAAAAACTGTTTCTATTGATGTTTGTCGTCGGATTGGTTTTCATATCCTGCGTGTTTCAAGGCGCCACAAAATACTTTTCCTTTTGCAGCATTCATATTTATATTGAAATCACCGTCAAGACAGTTACGTTAATAATAAAAAGAATATAAAAACACTTTAAATTATTATTATGTAAATACATTAAGAATGACTGCTAGTGAAAATGAAAAGTGAAACAGCAGCGTTCACCATAGCAACGCATGCAATGACGACGCATGCGCACTGTTTACTGTTACTTTTGAACACAGTTGAAAAGTGTGTGCACGCCATCAAATCCATACCAAAACCCATTTTGCCAATGACAATATTGCACACCTAGATTTATTTAGATCAGGGTTTCTGAACCTGTGGTTCATGGACCCCTAAGGGTCCATGAGTCATATTTTGGGGGTCCGCTGACTACTCCTCATTTTTAAAACGTTTGGTAGCCTACCCATTGCTTGTAAAGCGAGTTATGGCAGCTATAATTCTGTTTGCTACAGTGTATCTTTGCTGTGTATCTTTTTCCACACTTGTGACAATAAAACAAAACATCGAAATCGATTGAATGTTGGACATGATATGCGCTTTGCTTTGTCGAAAACCATCTTTCAATTCAATTTATTAATTAAGGAAAAGCAGCAGCAACCTTTAATTTTAAAAATTTTGCATACAATTAAAATAATAAAGTTAAATGTTTTTTTTTTATTAATTGACGTTTTTTTGCAATTATTTTTTTCATAGGGGGGTGATCCGTGACTTCTTAAAATTTTTAAAAGGGGTCCATTATACCAAAAAGGTTAAGAAACACTGGTTTAGATTATAAATTTTTAAATATGATTAGATAGATTTTTAAAAATTTGTATCAATCATTGGTTTTCACCTTCATTTTTGTATGATCTTCAAATTCCAAAGAGAATTCCTCATCATCATCATCCATTTCTTCAGGATCTTCAGCTAAGACATCGAGAGGGGCGCTTCTCAAATCATCAACTCTATTAAAAAAATATATCATAAGAACGAAACCGCTTGAATAGTTCTAAGACACCATTTAAATCAGTGAGATTTTTAATGTTTCAGTTCTCTGAAACTATTCAACTGATTCCATTTAAATTTAGAACTTCGCGTTGAAAACCTACATTTACATTGCATCTTTGGCAATTGCACAAAATGTTTGGCAAATATCACTTAATTTAACTTAATAACCATAGTTGAACAGCCGAACAATTTTGGGTTCACGACAACTAGTGTTCAATCCCGTAGCCTTGTCATTTTGAACCCAATCCAAAGAACAAAGAAAACTCCTGGATCAAGTATTTGGAGACATTTGCCTTCGTGGAGGACTTTTTGATGGAACTAACCCACATTTGCGTAACATGGAAAACCACGAAGACCTCTCATGATTAGCCTGATGGTAAGAGCACTCTAACCATTTAAATCTAAACTGAGGATCTTAAACTGAGGTTTAAAGGTGAGGTTAAACTGAGGTTGAGGATCTTAACTTGAGGTCTTAAACTGAGGATATTTTACGTCAGGACTATTGTCGGTACAAGCCGGGGTGTGGAATTCGTATCGATCAGTCCTCGCTGGGAATCAAACCCGGTTCACCTCATTGGAAGGCGAACGCTCCATCCCCTGAGCTACCACGGTTCTGTTAAATATCATCAGAGAGACTTTACATAGAGTTTGTTTTACATTAATGGTAAATGAAATTAAAAAAATTCAAAATAAAAAGTAATATTTTTAAAAACCACGTTTTTGTAGTGGAGGAAAATAATTAAAAAAAATTGAAAAACAAAAAACGTGGGGGCGCATGAAATACATAACAGTAATGTTATATTGGTGTGTGTATGTGTGCCTTGAAACTATGTGTATGGTATATCTGTAATTGTAATCGTATCTGAATGTGGATGTGGAATATGTTTGTGTATATGCATATGTATGTGGATGTATATATGTGGCTATGTGTAAGAAAATGTGTATATGTATGTGTATATGTATGTGTATATGCACTGTTATGTATTTCATGCGCCCCACGTTTTTGGTTTTCAATTTTTTTTAATTATTATTCTCCACTACAAAAACGTGGTTTTTAAAAATATTATTTTTTATTTTGCGATATTTTA